GCACCTAATAAAATTTACCATCAAGTTTACAATTTTATCTTCCCTGAGTAATAGTTTTATTGTTTAGTTTTCTTTCCGATGTTTAATTTACACATCTTGACATGTACTGCAATTATATTTTTGTATGATGTATTAGCTCTAAAGCTAGCTTCTTTCATTAGCTTAATGTTAAACATTCTTCCCACATGACAAAGCCAGTATTTTCATTAGAGGTTGGAAAGTACATCTATCACATTATTTATCTTCCTAAACCTCTTTATTCTCATAGACACGCAGACCTTGCACTGAACTTGTTCTTAGATCTCAATCAGTGTTAAGCTAATTTGGATTCTTCCCAAGTCACTGCCCAGGAGGAGGCATTGGACTTTACTGCACCTTCTGACAATCCCTCACCTGATTTTTGTAATTGATCTGCAGAGAAGACTTTGAACGTGCATTTTCTTTCTCCATAGCATGATTTCAAATGTCCCAAAAAGCTTAAGGTATAATGTCATTAAACTATCTGTACACAATATCCTTGCATTGGCAGATAAAAATAGATAACTATTCAATATCCCTTAACCCCTTGGATCTGAATTAAAATATGAACTAAGTATCAGACACTTATAGCTTACATATACTAACCTACAATCTCCACCAGATGAGTCAGCACCACGCCATCACACAAATCTTGCCGCAAGTCCTGTACAGGTTTCAATCCAGGCTTTTTCTTTAACTGGGAGTTAACCCATACCACGTAAGACTGGAGCTGTTGCTGTGATACAAGAATTAAAACATTTAATTTCTTACTGAAGACTGCCAATTCAAAAATCCAAGTTTTAATTTGATATTTTCATAGCTAAAGGTAAAAGTAAAGTCACCATAGTCTTACCAGACCATGGAGCTGCTCGCACATTACAGAGTGATGACTGGTGGTATTTTAACTTGTGGGTCACCACACCTCATGGCAGGGGACCAGTTAAGAAGGGGAGTCCTTTGTAATTACCTCAGCCAGGGCTTGAATTTAACCCATGCTGTTGGCATTACCCTGCATTGCAAACCAGCCAACTGAGCTTCTATGTACTGGATGACTGAGAAGTGGGTGGGATTCTACTTAAACAATTCAAATGATTACTGTTTTTGTATTTTCACATTCTTCTCTCGAAGAAAACAGTGGAAAGTACTGGAATGATTCACAGGCTGACTAACAGTCTGACAGGTTATGTTGTGAAGGCTCCTCTTAGGATCCTAACCATCTTTACCGCAGCCAAGTTAGTAATTAGCCCAACATAGTGGGCAGCCACTATCCATATTGAAAGAGAATATCCCACTGGATAACAATCTAGAAGAACTGAGCAGCAGTTTCTGACTACACTGAATAAAACCGTCTAGAGTGCAATCTGAACCCAGAACTTTTGCCTCCCACTCAGTCAAAGACTTGCTTCTTTCTGTGTGAAGGAAGCTGGTCACCTCAAACTGTGGAAAAGAAACAATAATCTTAGAGTTAAAGAAAACTTGGTACCACCTAAATAATTCTCTCTGCAATGTTAAACAAGCAATAAACACTGCTGGACCATGATTATAGTTAAACAAAAACAATCCAGATACAATCCTGCAGAAGTAAATAGTAAAGTCAGCTAACACATTATCCTTTCATCTTTGAAGCCCAGATTTTATCCTGACACTTAAGTAACAGGATGAAAAAGTTGCTAAGAGTAGTAGCACAAAATGAAATATTTTACAGTTTCAACCCAATTCCATGCAGACAAATTTATGATTGCGCAAAATACTGCTCTTGTTCCACAACAATAACATTCTGGGTTTCATTAATATGAAATTCACAAACATATGAATAAAATAAAAGTTAAAACAGTGACAACTGATGTAAAGGATCAGAACAGCCTAACAGCTTAATGTTAGGAAATCGTACAGTTAATATGGCCATTATTAACATACTGGTTGTCCTCATTTTGACTTTTTACATTAACAATACATGCTGTGAGCTGTAACAACTCCAGTTGTAGAAATTGCAAAAGAAAGGTATTGATGAAAATACTAAAAGCCAGCAGCACCATGAATCACGGGTCTTCAATGGCACTTTTGATAACCTTTGACGGAACAAAGATCTACTTCTGAAAGATACTTCCAGATTGGTCACTGCAGCCAGTGTTTCACTTCTTAAGAAAACTATGTTTTCTGGTGGAGTAGCAGATAGTGAAGGGGACTGTCGGAGAATGCAGCAGAATATAGATAGATTGGACAGTTGGGTGGAGAAATGGCAGATGGAGTTCAATCCAGGCAAATGCAAGATGATGCACTTTGGAAGATCCAATTCAAGAGCGAACTATAGGGTAAATGGAAAAGCCCTGGGGAAAATTGATACACAGAGAGATCTGGGTGTTCAGATCCATTGTACCCTGAAGGTGGCAACGCAGGTCGATAGAGTGGTCAAGAAGGCATACGGCATGCTTTCATTCATCGGACGGGTTATTGAGCACAAGAGTTGGCAGGTCATGTTACAGTTGTATAGGAATTTGGTTCGACCACATTTGGAATACTGCATACAGTTCTGGTCACCACATTACCAAAAGGATGTGGATGCTTTGGAGGGGGTGTTGCCTGGTATGGAGGGTGCTAGCTATGAAGAGAGGTTGAGTAGATTACGACTATTTACATTAGAAAGACGGAGGTTGAGGGGGGACCTGATTGAGGTCTACAAAATCATGAGAGGTATAGACAGGGTGGATAGCAAGAAGCTTTTTCCCAGAGTGGGGGACTCAATTACTAGGAATCACGATTTCAAGGTGAGAGGGGAAAAGTTTAAAGGGAGATATGCATGGAAAGTTCTTTACGCATAGGGTGGTGGGTGCCTGGAACGCATTGCCAGCGGAGGTGGTAGAGGCGGGCATGATAGCGTCATTTAAGATGTATCTAGACAGATACATGAATGGGCAGGGAGCAGAGGGATACAGATCCTTGTAAAATAGGCAACAGGTTTAGATAGAGGATCTGGATTGGCGCAGGCTTGGAGGGCCGAAGGGCCTGTTCCTGTGCTGTAATTTTCTTTGTTCTTATGTCCGTACAGTTGCTTCTACTGAACCAAAAGAAGTTGTACAGCATTCTATTCAAAAGGCCAGTAAATTAAATGATCAAGCTGACTTCAGGTAAATTTGGTTATCTACTGGGTACTTTCTAACCATCTCTGCCAATGAGAACTGGGTATTTGGTTTTTAATCATTAAATTTTTATGCAGCAGGAGCAGAAGCAGAGCAAATTCAAAGAGCAGAGGAGAATAAAAGCATGCTTGAGAGAGAGAGGAGGACCTGGAAACAATTATCAGCACCTGCAACCATCGTTTGTGGCGTATCTTACATGACATAACGGCTACATGACATAACAAAACACATGGAAAGCAACCAGATGGAGACCCCGGCTGTGCATTCAGATCCTGTGCGGATCAGCTGGCAGGGGTATTCGCAGACAGCTTTAACCTCTTCTTACTACGATATGAAGTCCCCACCTGTATCAAGAAGACCACCCTCATCCCAGTGCCAATGAAAAATCATGCAGTGTACCTCAATGACTAGAGCCTGGTAGCTCAGATCTCCATAATTATGGAGAACTTCAAGAGGTTATTCATGGTTTAAAGTTTTTAAGAAGATTTTTAGCTCAGGTTGTGGATGAGGTTGCAGACTTGCTCACTGAGCCGGTGTGTTTGATTGCAGGCGTTTCGTCATCCTGCTAGATAACATCTTCAGGTGTGCCTTCAGTGAAGCGTCAGTGTTCCATCCTGCTTGTTACTTACACACCTTGGTTTGCTGGGGTTTTCTGGTTTTGTTCTTCAGTGGTTTGTATATCGGTTCCAGTTCAATTTGTTCATTGACGGAGTTCTGGTTGGAATGCCAGGCCCCCAGAAATTCCTTGGTATGTCTCTATTTGGCTTATGCTATTATGGATATTACATTATTTTGTATATTACATTAGTTTTATTGGTTGTGGGTATGGGGTCCTTTACATTCATCAGTAGCTGTCGCAGGGTGGTTGCTGGTTTGTGGGCTACCTTGATACCTAGGGGTCTGAGTAGTCTTGTGGTCATCTGATATGTCCTTAATGTACGGTAGGGTGACTAGTGTGTCTTGCCGTGTTGTGTCTTCTTGTTGTGGTCTGTTGTGGAGGCAATAGCTGATTGTGCTTTATGGGTATCCATTTCTTTTAAAAACTCCGTATAAGTGTTCCTGATATATAAAATACCGTGCAAAGACTGTGAGAAACATTAAATAGGCCAAACTGGAAGAAAACTGGCAATAAAGGATACACGAACACCAAATAGCCATCAATAGACACGACCAATTCTCACTGGTCTCAATACACTACGGACAAAGGAGGACATGAATTCGACTGGGACAACGCATCCATAATAGCACAAGCCAAACAGAGACATGCCAGGGAATTCCTGGAGGCCTGGCATTCCAAACAGAACTCCATCAACAAACACACTGAACTGGAAACAATGTACAAACCACTGAAGAACAAAACCGGAAGTAATACCAATCAGCCCAGCAAACCAAGGCATATAAATAACAAGCAAGACAGAACACTGATGCTTCACCGGAGGCACACTGAAAACACTACCTAGCAGGGTGATGAAACATCTACAATCAGATGCACTGGCTCAGCGAGCTAGTCTGCAACCTCAAGTTAGTCATGGCTCACAACATTCCAGCTTCCCAGCCTCCCATGATCCTTTGCAATTTGCCTACTGGCACAACAGATCCACAGCAGACGTCATCTCCGAAGCCCTTACATTCATCCCTGGAATATCTGGATAACAAAGGATACCTACGTCATGGTATTGCTTATTGACTACAGTTCTGCCTCCAACATCATAATTCCATAGACCACAATCAGTAAGAGTATGCAACAATACCTCCTCCACATAATCGTCAACACCAGTGCTCCACATGGCTGCATACTCAGCCCCCTACTAAACTCCTTATACACCCATGGTAGACAAACAGGAGACTGGAAGAACACAGCAAGCCAGGCAGCATCTTGAGATGTGTTCTGCTGTGTTCTTCCAGCCTCCTGTTTGTCTACCTTGGATTCCAGCATCTACAGTTTTTTTGTCTCTAACCTTATACACTCCTGACTTTGTGGCCAAATTCCGCTCCAACTTCATTTACAAGTTTGATGATGATACCACCATTGTAGGGCGGATATCAAACCATGATGAAACAGAATACAGGTAAGAGATAGAGGGCTTAGTGGCATGGTATAAAAACAACAATCTGTCCAAAGTCAATAAAATGAAGGAGCTGGTCAATGACTTCAGGAAATAGAGAGGAGTGCACACCCCTGTCTGCATCAATGGTGCTGCTCGAGAGCATCATGTTTCAGGGAGTAATGACCACGAGCAATCTGTCCTGGTCCACCCATGTTGACACAATGATCAAGAAAGCACAAGAATGTCTCTACTTCTTCAGGAGGTTAAGGAAATTTGGCATGTCCTCAAGGACTCTTACCAATTTTTATAGATGCACCACAAAAAGCAAACTATCTGGATGGATCACTACGCGGTTTGGCAACTGCTCTTCTCAAGGTGGCAAGAAACTATAGAGAGTCATCAACACAGCCTTCCATCCACTGATTCCATCTATACTTCCCACTGCCTCGGGAAAGCAACCAGCATGATCAAAGGCCCAACCCACCCTGGTTATTTTCTCTTCCACCCTCTTCTGTTGGGAAGAAGATATAAAAGTTTGTTTACAGGCACAT